ACCAGGCATGTATGCCTGTGTGTGCCCAAGATCCCAGGAAGAGAACAGAGGAGAAAAGACTGTGGCATAGCCATCCTCCCTGGGGGGGGGGGGGAATTTCTCACTTTCCCTGTCATTATCTCTGTCTCTTTCTCTCTCCTCTGTGAGAGCACACACTACCCTGGAAGGGGGGGAGAATAAAAAAACCTCTTTTTTTTTATAAAGAAAAAGAAAGGCTATGATCAGAACCTACCGTTTCTGCCCAAGTCCCAAAATACACATCTCACCATTGAGTCACCCTGCGATAGAAAGAGAAGTCACACATAATCAACTACTGCACTGAAAACAAAATGGAAGAGCAATTGGGAAAAAAAGAAAAACTATGGTATTTTTTCAATTTCAGAATCTTGTCCTTGATTTTTGGACAGTTCTTATTTCATACGGTCTCTAGAAGCAGTGAGCCCCATAGAGAGCAGCACTACATAAACCCGGCGCCTGCACAAAGGAACCGCCTTGGGGCCTTGTTAAAATGCACACTGACTCAGTGGGCCTGGGAGTTTGCATTTCAAGCCAGGTCCCAGTGCTACTGATGCTGTGGGTCCGCAGACCACACCAGAAGGAGCAAGGCCACAGATGAAGCTCAATGTGGACTGAGCTCAGAGGTGGCCTCTCTTCAGAGGCAAGAGCCAGACCCGCAGCCACAGCTGTGCACACGGTGGAATGCAGTGGTCGATAAGAGCTTGCTTTTGCTCGGCCCTTTCTTGGGAACCAGGCATGTTACCCTCCACTCCAGCTGTGGCTAAGGTTCTTTCAGCCGGAGTGGCCTTTTCAGGCCACTTCTTACAGGCATAGTTTGCGCGAGGTTTGCCTGGTCAGTGAACAGATCGGACTGGCCTCTTCCCACCTGGCTTGGGTCGACGTGCTTTAACGTGACTGTCACGTTTCTCGTCAAGTTCTTGACGGTCAGGTTCGCAACACTTGATGATATGACATAGCTGATCAGAGAGAGGTTCTTCAGGGATGGGTCCTAGAACACCAAAGAATCATCAAGATGACAGAGAGACATGAAATAGTATCAGAGAGTTTCACAGCCACACGGGTCACTAGGTCTATGTAGCCCACATGGTTCATTTTACAATGCAGGTCAGAAATTGAGGGCCAGGGAGTAAAGCGACTTAACCAGGGGACCACAATTAGAAGCAGAGCTTGTTCCACTACGCAGCACTCTAAATAATGAGTTAAACAGCAAGGTGACATGACAGGCTCTCATAAATGCTAAAGGGAAGATATCAGTAAGCCATTTAAGCTGTGTGTCCCTGAGCAAGTTACTTAACCTGTCTGTGCCTCCACTGACCCACCAGTAAAAAAGGTAATAAGCCTCTCAGAAGGTTGTTGAGAGGATTAGATTTGTAGGCACTTAGGAAAGTGCCTAGAAATTGTTCAATTTACACAAGCATTAGTCATTGTTATTTCCCATAACCAGCATCATTAGGCTGTGTTTAAAAATAAACAGCACAGTTTCAACAACTCATTTGACTTGCAGAAGCCCTAAGAATACTTGGAGATGTAAAGAAATAAAATCCCCCCACCTCCAAATCAGATCCAACCCAAAGCACTGGGAGGCAATTTTACCTGAAACAGAGCAGGTGTTTCAAAAAAGTTGAACTGGATCCTGGAAGCGAGCGCCACATCACGAGCTGGTAAGTCACCCAGTAGCGTTGAGGGCAGAGTGATAATGCCAATGCTGTTCTCAGGGGCTTGCGTTTCCAGAGAGACCTGAAAACCAAGTGAGAGGTAATACAAATGTCCACAGCTGGTACAAGGAGGGGAGGGAGAACAGAAGCAATTCCCGTGGAGGGTCCTGTGAGGCTGGGGCTGCAGTATCTCAATGTGGAATGTCAGCTTCTCTGGCTGCTACTACATCAAGGGGAGGTGTAGAATAAGGAGACGAGACCCCCTCAGAAGGCAGGGAAACCTGTTAAGGATACACAGAAATAGTCAAAGAGTGCAAGGTGAATGCAGATCCCAGGGAGACCTTGGCAGAAGACACACCAAGAGGTGACCGGGTAGGGTGACTGCAAGAACTTAACAGCAAGACTCGGTTTCACTTGGGTGTTGTTTCCAGAACCTCCATCCTTCTAACAGGTGAATAGAAAACACTAGAAGCAGGACTGATTTTCAGCACTACTGTATATAAGAGTGCAGTTTTAACACTTAGTAAGACATTAAAATGGGTTGAAGAGTAGCTCATGTGCCTATTCTACTCTCCCAACTGCCCAAGACTCTCCCTTAGACACCCTCTCCCAGACTCCCATAATCCGGCTGCTAAAGGGTTACCACGGGGCACAACAGGGAATTCTGGCATCCAGCTCCAGCCAGAACCAATGTCTTCCTTCAGAGACAGGGTTTTGCTATGTTACCCAGGCTGACTCCAACTCTCGGCCTCCCTGCCTCGGCCCCCCGAGTACCAGGACCACAGGCACAGGCCAGGGCACCTGCTGGCTTAGTAGTGCCTCAGTGTTCCAGATGGCATGTACTTCGAATATCATCCCTGACTCTAAGCGGCAACTGCATCGATCATGAAGTACAACGGTGACTACAATCGTACCCAAGAAAACGTCTCTTCCACAACGAGTTACAATGTACCTGAAGACTGGCAGGGTCTTGGGCTGCAAAGGTAGTTGTGTCGAAGTGACTGGCATTCACTCTGATCACGGCCAGAGCCAGGGAAGGGGAGGTCAGACTTATGGTTTTGTTTGAAAACTTCAGCCGTAAGCCAATGTCATCCACGACTTTCAGCAATCTGTAAAGACAGGTGGCTGTTTCAGTTTAGTGCTCCCACTTACTCTCCCCATCCTGCACAGAACATAGAGTAGCAACTTGAGATGTTGTCACAAACCGAGTACTTGGGAGGCCAGCAGCTGGCTCCAGTGGATCACATAAGCAGCATCTTTACCATTAGAGGGTCCCCCTCGTCACCACTTCTGTTTACCAAATCATACCTTTGAGCCAGCGGGGCCAGCAAGGAGGGCGGGGAACGAAGGAGTTTGCTGACTTGGTTGATCATTTCTTCCGCAAGGTTAGCCTCCAAGCTGCCTAAGGACAGAGCCTTCTCCATCTGGGACACTTGGTTCTCAAGATCAGAAACACTGGTGGTGCTGACAATTTCTATAACCAAGAGGCGAATCATTTCATGAGCACACAATGGAAAGGTCATGAATAAAGATAAACACGCACAGACCCTATGGTCTGACAAACTCAACCCTAGGTATTTTCCCCAGAGAAATGCAAACACATATCTTTAGAAAATGTGTTCATGAATATTGATAGTGGTTTTTTTTTTTTTTTTTGATGCATATTACAGGCCCAGAATAGAAACCACCTAATTTCCGTTGGCTGGAGGATGGATAAACAAAGTGTGGTACCCACACAGCAGAATATTATTCAGTGAGAAAAAGGAATAAACTACTGATACAGGCAACAACACGAATCGGGCTCAAATTTTCCAAGACATTATGGTAAATGATAGAAGCCAAACTCAAAAGCCACATACTGTATGACTCATTTCATATGATATTCTAGAAAAAAACAAATGGCCAGGGGCTGAGGGGTCAAGGTAGGTGTGGACTTTTAAAGGACAAAGGGCGCATTAGCGATAGTGGAAAAGTTACATATCTTGATTTGAGAGTGGTTATACGACTAAACGTTTATCCAGGTACATAGAATAGCAATGATTTCATTTATCTGTAGAACTAGATATATTTTACTGACTATAAATTATGCCTTAATACATCAAACTAAAAATGCAAAAGCATATCAGTATATTTAGTATCAATCTATATGAACATAAGTATACCTGTATTTAATTTATATCATATGTATAGGATTTTATGTGGGTCACTAGAAGTTCATTTGTGAAAACGAACGTTATGAAATCGACAGCTGGGCTATCACATGTAAGTCTGATTTTTAAAATCATGTTCTTAATTGGGATACAATGGTACAAACCAGTCTTAAACAATGACGTCTCTTCATTTTACCATGCACATCCTCTCATTTTGCACATTCCCCTCTAATCTTTATCCATGTGTATTTAAAAAATTATAAACATGATGTATGAACTATTTGCTGTTGGGCTACTTTCACTGCACATCAAGACTTGCAAGATGCCCTCAAGCGTCTGTCACTGTGCTGAGGTGGCCTTCCTTATTGGGTCATCCCTCTCCTGTGGAACTGGTAAGTTTTTTTCAACTCCTTAGCTACCAGGTACCACCCAATGTGCATCCTTTATGCATATGTTGCTTTGCTTCTGTTGTCCCTGCAGTGAAAGCGCAGGTACAGGAGGCCACCTTGATGGTTATTTTGTATAGCTGGCTAGGTTGATTCTAAGGGTCAATGGGAATGGCCTTGGAGAGGTGGGCATCTATGGCCCAGCCAAACGAACTTCAGCTTGACTTTATTCTTCATCAGTCACTGACCCTTCCATTAACAAGAACCCTAAAAAGGTTATATTCCGTTTTTATTTGAGAGAGAGCAGTACAAATCTGAAGAAATAGAAAGACATTGGCCGAAGCTCCAAATGTGCTGGGGATTCTGGCACCATGGCAGAGGAGGCGGGGACCATGACCTGAGTTCTCATGTAACTATCACCCGAAACTTGGCTTTGCCGCCCATCCTCCAAATTTTAGAAGACCTGCCTCTTACTTGCTGAACTGAAACGCCAGAGGACCTGGAATTCTGTCTACACCTTTCCCTGTGCCTGCTGTTTCTCCAGCACTGCGCCTTCTGTATGCCTGGGAGCCCTTGGCAGCGTCCTGGTGCACACAGTCGTCCTCAGTCTAGTGCAGTTAGTGTGATGATTTGGATCTTTACACAGGGCAGGCTGGTGGGGAAGAGCCAAATGGCTTGTCTCGGATCATGCGCCAGTGCAGGCCTGTGCAGACCCAAGCCTAGACCTTATGAATGTTCTCCCCTCCTATGGTGACCTTGGCTCAGCCCCTGCTCTGTACTCTGTGACTCAAGATTTTCAGGGACACCTATTCTTTTTTTCTTTTGTCTGTTGTCTCAATGGAGCTACTGTTGTTTAATACTTTCAAAGTCTTCTCTTCGGAATACTGAATGAACCAACCTTTTGTAGGAGAAAGAAATCTATAAGATATCCATCTCGATAAAATGAGATGTGCTTGCCTCTTAGAGCTATTGCCCCACTATCTTGGTCAAAACAATTGAAATCAGCCACAGTTATGTTCTGTGAATGCTCTTGAAACCAAGCAAGCATAGGAGAAAAGGCTCCATGGAGTCTTAGAGATATTGTGACCTGTGGGCTGGCAGCTGCGTACCAGGGAGCCAAAATTCCAACCACCATAGGAGCAGCTTGGCTCCCCCTATTTACCTGTCTTTCCAGGAAGTGTGCTGGTAGGGACGGCGTTCGCAGGGGCAGACGTGTTGGGAGAGGAAAGTGAGGGTTTCGCAGGTAGTAGGGTGTGCGATAGATTGGTTTGGAACACAGAGGAAGAGATAGTTCCAGACTGGAGGGACGTATCGATGGCAGGGCTGGAAGCTATGGAAGCTGAAGTCTGGGGAGAAGGAAGGTGAATCTCCTCTGTGGGAGAAGTAGGGTGTGGGCTCACAGGCGGATGGTCTATGGGCTCAACACTGGAGACTTGGGAGAGACTAGTGGCCTGGGGTGCAATTGAGATGGATTCACTAGAAGATGAAAATGGTGGGCCAGGTAGATGATCAGCAAGACAGACAACAGGATCCTGCAGGTCACTAAAGGAAAAAAATCAGAAACATGCGTGTGAGACACGACCAAGCTACTGAGGGGCAAATCTCCTTCCTCTGGCAGCCATCTGACACTTGACATGGTTATATCAGGGACCTGCCACTTCCAGCTTCTGTCACTTCCTATCCTCTGTGCACCTTCCACTGGCCCCCTGCCCTAGCCCACTTCCGCCACTGTTTCCTGGGAGAGGAATTAGCAAGGTAGGAAACTCTTTTATGAATCCCCAATTTGTGTTTACTAGTTCAGTGTTCCTCTGGGGCACTGATAAACTTACTAGTGATATACTGATCATTTCCCACTCAGCTGAGAGGATCTTGTAACACTTGTAAGTGCTCCTGGGAGAGGGATGCTGTTAAATGCCCCATGATCCGGCTGGTTTCCATATACCAGGAATCTGTCTTGACCAACTTTATACGGCTCTAGCCTGGCATATCGGTAAAGAGAAAACAGAAAAGGAACCACTGTGCACATGTTCATTTATTTCCTTTTCTGTTTTTTCTCTGTGTATTGGTATGTAGCCGTGGTCGCATCTCAGTCTTTTGACTATAGACTTTCAGAGTCTTCTGCTATTTTGAAACATCCATCTCCCAGTCTCCCTCCATTGAGATATATGTTCAAGGCGGTGATTCTCAATTCTGGTGGCACATTAGGATACCAGAAGGACTTTTTAAACCCTTAATGTCTAGGCTACGTCTCAAACTACTTAAATTAGAATCTCTGAGGGTAGAAAATGAGAATCAGCATTAAAAAAACGTTTTTCAGTTGAATAAGTTTTAGACTTATAGAAACAGTAATAAATAAATAAATGAATACAGAGGGTTCTGCATACATCTCATTCAGCTTCCCCCAATGTTAGTATGTAATGTCCAGAATTAGACTCAAATACCTATCAAAATGCAGTATATGAGAATCATGGCATCTCAAACCACTGAGGAAAAGATGAACTTTTAAATAAATGGTGTTGGAACCACTAGTGAACATGTGAAAGAAGATCAAATTATTGTAAATGCATATCTCACACCATACATAAGAATAAACTCCAATTGGATTAAACTGAAAAGTGAAACTATACAAGAAATTGAAAAACGTAAGAGTGAATTCTCTTTAACCTGGGTGTGAAGAAAGGCTTTCTAACTATGCCTCCAAACTCTAAGACAATCTGAGAAAGTACTGGTAAATTTAACTATATAGAATTTTAAAATCTGCATCACAATAAACAAAGTCAAAAAGTAATTGAAAAATGGGAGAAAATAGTGGTAATACATTTAAAGAGTTAACAGCCACATTATATAATCTTTAAAATTGATGACACTGCCAGAGTTCAGTTCTGTGAGGCTGACTCATATGGGAAGGTTCTGGACTCCCTTCTGGAGACCTTCCTGAGTATACTGGGTACACTTATACCCATGATCTGGTGAAGGCTGAAGCTGGGGGTGGATCACAAAATGAAGACTCTGTTGGGGGTACTGTCTCTCTCACTCATGGAAAAAAATAAAACAATAGGAAACATTTTTTAAAAAAATTGATCAAATATCTATTAGAAAAAATGAGGGGGACCAGCAGAAGGTGTAATGGTTATGTTGCTGGACTCCCAAATAGTTGAACGTGGTTCAAATCCCTGATCTGGCAGCTTAAAACTCAACTGGGCACACGCATGTGTGTGTGCCCAAAATCCCAAGAGGAGAATGGAGGAGTGGTGTGGCATCCCCCCACGGGATAATTTCTTGCTTTCTGTCTCTCTGGTGAGTGCACATGCTCAACAGAAAAAAAATCTCTCAAAAAAAAAAAAAAAAGAGGAAAAGACATAATTTACCAAAATAAAACAAAACAAAATACAAAAAATGGCCTCCAGATATATGAAAAATGTTTCAATTCAGTCTTAATAAGAAAATGCTAATTAAAGTAACACTGAGGTACCATTTCTCATCTCTTAGACTGGCAAAAGGTTTTAGAAACATTTCGTTGGTGAATCCATGGGGAGTGAGAGTATTTTTCATGCTGCCCAGGTGATTCTAATGTGCAGGCAACGTTGCAAACCACTAGTTCAAAGCAGTGGTCCAAAAGACACTTCGTGTGACAAAAAACTGCATTGTGTTTAAAATCGAGAGCCCTTCCTCACTCTAGAAATTCCAAAATTCCTTAGCCAGCATGTGATTAATATTTTTCTTAGGAAAAAGGTCAGCATGATTGTGACATACCACTGCAGCTTTTCTAGGTCTTCCGGGAAGGAAGGGCAGGGTGTCCTGACAGAACAACAGCACTGTTCTGAAGGAGACAAAAGGAAAAGGAAATGCCCGTCAAGAATAAAGCAAGGTGGAAACTCAGACCGACCAGATATTATAGTTCTTACACGGACTGCATTTTAAAGAGCAATTGTCTAAAACGGGCAATAAAATAAACTGGATGCCATTACACTGACAATTACATATACATAGGTACTCAAAAATATGCATTGAGTGAATAATTTTTTGTTCTTGTTATATGCAAGCAATACTAATCACTCTTTGGCAACTCCTAAAAGGGATTCAGAGGTAAACATCCCAGAGGGCGCCGTGTTAAGTGGAATAAGCCGGGAACGGAAAGACAACAGAACCTCAGGATCGCACTTACATGAAGAATCTAAAACTGTCAAACTCATACAAACAGAGAGTAAGATGGTGGTTACCAGAGGCTGGGGTTGGGGAGTGTGGAACGTTTCCTCGCAACATTTCAGTTAGATAGGACTACGTTCACTTAAGCAACTATAACTAATAATAATATATTGTACACTTGTGGGGACCAGTAGATGGCATAATGATTATGCCACTGAACTCCCAAGTAGTTGACCATGGTTTGAGTTCCAGACTCAGAGGCTTAAAACTCACACTGGGTGCATGTGCGTGTGTGCCCAAAATCCCGGGAGGAGAATGGAGGAAAAGGGATTGCAGCGTGGCCATCTCCCCTTAGGGGTGATTTCTTGCTTTCTGTCTCTCTGTCTCTCTGTCGTACACACATGCCCTATAGCAAAAATCTCTCTAAAAAAAGAAAAAAATTATATATTGTACACTTGAAAATTGCCAAGACAGTGGATTTTAAGTAATCTCACCACAAAAAAAGGATAAGCATATGAAGTAAAGCAATGTTAAAAAGCAAAGTTCAGCCAAATGTTAAAAAGCTCAGTTCAGCCATCCCACAATGCAGACATCTATCGAAACATCATGTTGCACATCATAAATATATATAGTTTTTACATGTGAATTTTAAAAAAGAAATACACATATCCTAGTAGCAATCCATTGAACACTCCAAATAGAATTCTCCCTCTTCTCAAGGCGGTTTGTTTTAAAATATGATACACTGAAACTTTACTGGAAACAGGGAACTAACGTAGGGCTCTCTAAAAATTTCCCAAGATCAAAGGAGTCAAAACAGACAGCTGTAACATAAGTAGATTTGTTCATTATATTCTCAGTTTAAAAAAATCACACACCTAGGGAACCAGCAGTTAGCGTAATGGCTATGTCACTGGACTCCCACGTAGTCGA